TATATATATATATATATATATATATATATATATATATTTCCAATGGAAATATATATTTACAATGGAAGTCATATATATATATTATATATTATTTATATATTATTATTAAATATATATTTACAATCATATATATATATTAAAATTGACTAAACATGTTTCTGGCTGTGGAAGATTGTTCACGCTGATTAAAACAAGCTGATGAAACTGATGGATTTTTATGTCTATTCTTCCAGATTTGCATAAAATACCTTAAATAGTCTTTATAATTGGCTGCTTGAACTTTTTATCAATAAGTTATTATTTAAAAAAACCTCAAAATTAGCTTACAGTGCCGTGAGAAACACAATATAACCAAAGAAACTTGCCAAATAAAACATTGAACATATTAAATTGACCTTTTCTACTGGTGCATTTGCATTGAACTACATTAAACACACCCATAATCATTTGTGCTGGTTTATAGAGTATGGTTAATGATGAGGTAAAAGTGTGTGATGGTCAATCATTGTCGTCTGTGTGTTTGTGCAGTGTGTGTGAATCTGCTCCGTGCAGCTTTCGATGCTTTAGTTCTTATATTTGATCTATTTTATTATGTTTTCCAGCTGTTTGTACATACATGAGTATATTGTAGTCTTACTGTATAACATGTGTTTCCAGATTATCCAGATCAGGCTTTCATTATGGAGCAGCAGAGCATTATCCACTCATTTTACTGCTTATAAAGTGTTTATAAAGTGTTTAAAAAGCCTGTATGATGTCTGTGACAATGAAACCAGTCACTCCTGCTTATAAAGGTGCACAGCTGTTTTTATTTACTCTAGTGAAGAGCGTGGAAAACAACAACTGTTGCTATAATTAATGTGTATTTTCATTATTTTACTGTTGTTGTTTTGGGAAAAGGAGTCATTTAGTAACTCTTCTGCTTTTATTTCAAGCTATTTATGTAAGTTTTTATTTAATTTACAAAATTTTAATGTGATTCTACATTTGTGTGTTTAATATTATTTATTTTATGTGTCTTTATTTATTTATTTTGTACTATTTTTTTTATTCTGTAACATTTCTGCCTTGGAACTTTTTATTTAAAATATTTATTCTGTATTTATTTCATTATTAGTGAATATTTTAAAATATTATAATATACATTTTTAATTATATTTAAATTTTTATATATTTAAATAATTCAAGTGTTTACATATTTAAATATATTCAAATGTATGTATTTAAATATTTAAATAATATCTAAATAATTATATATTTAAAATAAATATTACAAAGTCATTTTTGTTCAGATATTTGTATTTAATATATTTTACTTTTGTTTTTATTACAGTATTTCTTTGTTAAATTTCCCCTTTTTTCTTCAGAACTCTATAAAACTCATAAAATGTGTTGAACTATGAAAGATGTATGGTATTACGCCACCAAAAAAAGTGACACTGTACAGTTTAGTTGACTGTTAAATGTACAATATGACATTAATCACGCCTCCAGCTTCTTCTTGATCTCATTCTGCATTTTTCTCCTCCAGATTCAGAGTTTCTATTCAAATCCTCTATGCATAGTCAGAAAAGATGATGTGTTTCTGGGTGTTTAATGCTGGTTTTCTCTCCTGTATGATGCTGGTCTTTAATTAATGAATCCTGATCTTTCTCTGGAACGCCTGTTGACATTGTAATTTACCACTGTAAATAAATGTGTACTAGTATAAGACGATGCTTGTAAAATACTCTCTCAGCGTCCATTTACTTCTAAACCGTATGATCACAATTATATTTGACCAGTTTATCAACAGTCTTTGCACATTTATTTTTATGCACATACAGTGTGTTTTATTTCTCCGCAGGGATTTTTGAGGATCACTTTCTCATCTTCTGATTGGATGAAGTGATGACAGATGAATAATTATGAGGTATGTGAAGACTCGGGTTCATTCAAAGTTACAATGCTAAGACTTTTCTAGAAATGTGGTAGGTATTCTTATTATAATCAGATAGTCAGAAATAAACATAAATTTTCATGCGCGAATAGTGCGATTTATCCATGCGTTCCGCATCTAGTGTGAACACAGCATTAAAGTCAAGTGCCATTTAGGGGTTTCCTCCTGGATTTTGCCTTCCCAAATTCAAAAGCTTCCCAAATCCACATGCAAAGGTGTAAATGGTTAGGAGTG